TTTCCTTTAAAAACTCTTGCCTCTTAGTTTCTATGAGTCTGTCTTTCACACAAGGAGAGCAGGGCTTGGCTTCCCAGAGCAGTGCTTGGCAAGCAGAGAGGCAGGAAACGCAGAAGGGAATGAGTCTGTCAGACTCATTTTCTTCTATTTCAAATGTTTATTTCAGATTCGGGAGGAAGTAGAGTGGTTCCTTTCCATTTCCTTGTCTCTGGGACCTGCGAGTTGTATAAGGCTTAGAGAATCTCACTCCACCACACGTCGTACTCACAGGTTCACAGATGGAGTCTTTTTTCAGAGAAGCTCCAGTTTGAACAGAGCAGAATTTATAGCTCTCCGTGCCCTTCCACGACCACCTATCTCTTACCGGTTTAGGACTGGAGCATTGAGCTAGACAACTGAAAGCAGAGGGCAAGGCTGGTGGGCTCAGGAACATCTTATATAGGCTCCCAAGGGGTAGGGGCCATATCTCAACTGACATTAGTCCCCAGTCCTGCCACGTGGCACACCTGAGGCCACTGCTGAGCTAGAGAGGTCCGATACGATGTATGAATACCACAGCATGCTCTGGTCCTGAGCCCACTTCTCAGACTCCCAAGACTTACCATTGTCTGACATCGGGATGAAGTTTCAACAGCAAAACTTAAAGTACACATGTTTTAGTAATGAAATAATTTCAACCCATGCCAACTTTTCTAATCTATACTCTGATTTCTCTACTTTTTTTAAAAGCCAAGCTATTTATCTCACTGCACTCACTAGCTCAGTTCTGCAACTTGTTTTATCGTCTACGCAATTGACACAGGTCATTTTTAATGTCAAATGGAGACCATCAGAAACCAAACTAGAAAATCTTGTGGTGAGTTTACTACTAAACTCTAACAGATGCGACTGATTCTTACTATAGACATCGGGACTGAAGCATAATTTTAGGTACAAATTACTTACTGAGAATATTTACAGACGGAAAACTTCTTCAGCAAAAGAGGCCCTAGACATTTAACACAGATTATCTTGTAGTTTAGCAATTGATAAAGAGGCCAAACATTGTAAATGCATTAATTATGGTTTGTTTAAGAAAGTTCCCAGGGCAGAGTGCTTGATCTAACCATTTTGGTTTTGTGAGTTTTAAAAAATAAAAATCTGACTCATTATTTTTACTCACAGTTTAGATTTTTCTAGTTGCATTACTGTTTGATAACCACTAATTATGTTACTAAGATCTTTGTGCACAAAATGCATCCTTAAGTGAACCATATTTACACTTCTGCATCTATTCACATTTATACATCCAATAGTACAAACTAGTTTTCATATTATATCCACTCTGCTCTGGATGAACTCCTGGAACAAATTAACCCTTCTATATGTCAGAATTCCCTCCTAACATTCATTTATTATGATACTTGTGACTTGACAGTATAATGAAGACACATTATATTAGAAACAATCACAATATTCATTTTAGAAACCAAAAGTAGTCAAAATATGAATCACGTTATTAAAAATTTTCTCTGTTGGTCACTAATTAAATAACAAATAGCAATTATATGTACAGTAGTGAGTCTTTTAAATCAATTTTTTAAAAAACAGGATGAAGGAAGGAAGGAGAAAAGATAAACATTGTAAAGGTCATAATGAGACAAACATTTCTACTTGAAGATATTGTCACTAAAGCACGCTATAAGCAAGCTATGCCAAGTCATGTACTTCTCACACACGGAATTATATTGTATCAAATTTAAATTTGTTACAACTGCATGTACATTAAACCAGTGATAACGAAAATGTAACTCAATATCTGATCTAGTGAAACAGCAACCAACATTAGCTCCCAGCCACATGAAGACAATCTCCGATGCCATTACTGGTGTCAGCTAAACCTCAGCCAGTTTGTCTTTTCCAGCCATTTTTAAATAAATATGTGACTGTCTCAATTAGGAAATCTTGAAGGAAGTCTCTTCGAGGAGGTAATTTTGTTGCTCGTTCTCAGTGCCCTGCATTTGCTGTACTTAAAATAGACACTTGTACCAATGTCCTTTCTATTACCCGAAGGGGAAAAAAAATCACATACACACCAGTCCTCTTTCTTTCGGCTTGCAGAGAAGCAACTTGATCCAGCCAGTGTTGAAACCTGAGTAGGTCACTGTACACCATGATAAAATTCCCTAATCCCTGAGCCAAATCTCCCTGAGGGGGGCCTCCTCCTGATCCTCCACTTCCCAGGCTGACTTTTCCATTCGCTCTCTCCTCTTTCCCCCTTTCATTTCCCCTACCTTCAAGCCTTGATATGTGATCCGAGGTGGGGGCTCAAGTTTCCGTTTTTACAGCTTAGGCCGTGCTAGCTGTATACATTCCTTTCTTTCTGCCGGGCAGTGATTACTTACCCGGGCTTAGTTTACACTGGTCCAGATGAAAGCCGCTCAGATGAAGGCAAACACAGGCAGGCAGCTCCAGCGGCACCGATATGAAGCTGCACAAGGCCACATTGTGCTCTTGGTGACATTTTGTTGCACATATTTTTTTTTAATACAGGGCAACCAACTTGTTATGTTACTCTTTAGATGGAGTGGTCATAATACCATAAGGTGTGGGGAGGGATTTTACTGATCTAGTTATCAATATTAAAAGCAGAAAATTTTTAAATAGTTCAAGAAAACCCTTCCACCTTTTGTCTTTGAGAAGTCACTTTTAAAATGAGTACTTTTAGTGCTATTAAATCAGAGGAACGCCTACTAAACAATTCCACTAGAAATGGGATTTCATGACTCACCGACACAGTGTGCTTTGGCATGACTGAAGATTTCGGCCAGGGGTTTTGGATACATTGCTCCAAACAGAAAGAAAATGCCATGCTGCAGGCCATTGAACTTGAACTATCTGCTGGCTGGAACTTCTCATTTAATGCTACCAGGTACTGAAATGATGGGGATTACAACTTCAAATAGTAGGTGGTGATTTAGAAGAAAAATAACATTTTCAGAGAGGAAACTCTGTGCTGGGAGGTTAATTCCATACTGAGTCCTGTCGCACTGACTAAAAATTGTGTAATTTTTCCCTTCACACAATGTTGTTTTTGTTTCCTCCTCGCCAGCTCAGACAAACATCTGTTATACTGGAGAAGGACAACTATCTCCCAAACCACGGCGTGCGCCCGCAGCCAAAGTCAACAACGCGAGCCCCGAGCGTCGAGCACAGTCAGCCTTTATATCCAGCCGGGATAACATTTCACATGTTTTGATTAAAATTAGCTAATTTGTAATTCTAGAACCTATGAAACTTAAAAGCTGCCATCCATATAGATCACATTAGGCAGGGGTTTAAAGGGCCAGTGCACACTGATTTCCTGATGGCTTCACCTCTCTCCTCTTCCTCCAGCCCCAAGTTAAAATAAAATGGAAAAGTAATCTGGAAATGCAGGACAAGCGGGGAGGGTACTCGAGAAAGAACGGTCACTGTACATTGTTTGAGTTCCACCCCCCACTCCAGTGGAGGACAACTCCTAGTGGTGTGTGTTTCTGTGTGTGTGTGTGTGTGTGTGTGCGCGCGCGCGCACGTGTGTGTCTCAACTGTCCATCACGGGAATCAATGGTGGTTTCCGTCCCAAAGATGGCATTGATTTCCAAGGCAGATCTTCCTTAAACTCTCCTAGGGCTGATGCTGCACCTCAGGCTTCCAAGCAGTAAGTTCCTGACCCACAAATAGAGACCCTAATCCCAAACTTAGACTGCATGGAAATTTCCTGGAGGTACATAGGATGTCCCTCTCCAAGCATGGGCTGCATACAAGCCTCTCTATTATAATATGCTTGTTCTAATCACGAAAACATCAAAGCGCAATACACCCAACTTAGCTGCAAGCCATTGTCATCGAGTTTGTGTTTTCAATACAAACTTCACCAACCTGACAAGTCAGTTGGCAGTGCTGAGGGTTCTACGCTGAAGATGGAGAACGCTAAGACAGATACAGGATGAAAACTACAGTCGTCCCCCCCGCCCCCAATCTGCTACTTGTTTGTAACTCAAAGAAAAAATAATAAATAAAATGATTTTTTTAATTAAGAGAGACTGGTGAAATCGCAGCATGTAACCCCTTGCCGGGCAAAAGCCCCAAGTTCACGGAAAAGACGGGGTTGGGGGGAGGAGACGAGGGGTCCGGGGCTGAGCGGCACTCGAGCGCAGCGGCTCCGACGCGAGCAGCTGGAGCGCCAGGTCTCTGCGCCCGCCGCCTCTGGACCACCGCTGGCCTCCGGGCTGGCCTTTCGGAACAATGGGCAGGCGCTAGGCGAAGGCCGCCCCTGGGACAGCTAGCTATCAGCAAGGCTTGCCCGGGGCTGCTTAGCTGGGAAGTGAAGCATGCAAAGGCGAGAGGGAGGCGGAGGCAGCCCCGAGAGAGGAGCGGGCCGGGGCGGGCGGGCGGACGAGGCGAGGCGAGCCGGCCGTCAAACGGTACCCAGACCCGCGCCGCCCCGGCCGAGACTCTCCCTGGCACTGACAGCCCCTTTTCACAGCCACAGCTGGCTGCTTGAGGGGACTCGGGGTCGAGTAGCGGGGAGATGAGCCCAGGAGAAGGGTGGCATCGAGCGCTCCCGGGGAGCCGCGGCCCCTCAGCTCCTAACTTTGCAGGCATCTGAGGTTTGGTTCCCAAAGAAGCGGAAAAAAACTACCCGCGGACTGGGAAAGCCTCTTCATCAAACCCACCGCCACTTGGGTTCCCGGGTCCCCTCCCCCAGCGATGCGCCCATGCCAACCTGGGCCGTATAAGGTTAAATAGTATGTGGTTCTCCGGCCGCCCTCACCCCATCAAATTGGAGGCAGGCAAATATCGGGGATGCGAACCGCGAGTTGGCCTCGGTTTTGCACCTGGAGGAGGAGCCGAGGGGTTCCGGGCATTCTACCCAAACTGACAAGCGCTCCCCTGTACCCCCCAAAGCCACACAACGGCCCGAGGGGAGCCGGCGGAAGAAAGAGCTGTGTCTCTCCGGCCCCGAAGTCCAAAAATACCTTCATTTCCTCATTGATCTCCCTTTTCACTGGGTGAGCCGGTTTCCTGCTCCTCTTATTTTCCGGAGGTCTCCCTTCTTTCTCCATTTCTGCCATGTTTTTGTGTCTGGTTTCTGTGGAGATGAAATGGCTGCTGCCGCCGGCGGCGGTGGTGGTGGTGGTGGCGGTGGTGGTGGTGGAGGTGGTGCTGATGGTGGCAACGCTGGCGGAGGTAGCGGTGCTGGAGGGGCTGGGGCTGGTGGGGGGGTGGCAGGCGGGCGCCGGAGAAGCGGGGTCTCTTCTAGCGGCAGAGAACGTCAGCAGCTGTCACAGGGAAAGGTAGCTCGCGGAGTCTCGGGGATGCCGCCGCCGCCGCTCCAGCTCCCGCTGCCGCCGCCGCCGCCGCCAACGCCGCCGCTGCCGCCGCTGCCCCTGCCGACGCTCCTTCCGCCGCTCCGGCCACCGCCGCCGCCGCCCGGCTGCATCCTCGGGGCCCCGTGGAGTCGTCAGCCATCTTCCGTCCCTCTGTCCGTCTGCATGGGCGAGGGGAGCGAGGGCCGGGCGCGGAGAGAGCTGCTCTGGGCGTGCGTGCGTGGATGTGTGTGTGTGTGCGCCCGGGAGAGCGCGCCAGCTCTGGCGCCCAGCGCCTCCCGCGAGCCGAGCCGGGGGGCGGGCCGGGCCGCGAGGGGAGGGGGCGGGGAGGGCGCCGGAGCCGGGAGGGGGCGGGCGGGAGGGGGGAGGTGGGGGGCTTAGGACGGCCCCCAGCTCCCGAGCGGGCGTGGCTTCCACCGTCACCGTGCACGCCGATGCCGCGCGGCTCCGGGGGCTGCTCACGGCCGCCTGGTTCCTACGCAGCGGACACCCGCGGGACGCGGCGTCCCTCGCGGCTGCCACCCCTGCGTGACGCCCCACTGCTCGGGCCTGCTCCGACCCCAGTCGTTCTCCTGAGCTCCGTGCTGTGGGTCGGGTGGCCAGTCCCAGAAGCTGCTAAGGAAAAATGAATGGGGGCGAAAGAAGGAGGTTGATTGGTGGGAGGGCGTGGGGGCCTGAGGTTGCTAGCGGGCCACCTTCCTACCCGGGGCACCACCGACTGAGCGCGCCACCTCCAGTTGCAGGGCAGGGGTCCGAGGGGAATGAAACCACAGTCCTGACCTCCCTTCAGCTGCCAGGATAGAGTGTGCAGCTGAGGGAGACCTCAGGGCGCCCTTGGGGCACGTGGAGGCTGGAGGTCCCGTGGAGAGGTTCCCGCACCCTTCTTGGCTGGTCCCCCACTCGGCGCAGGCTACGGCTGCGTTTGCAAGAAAGCTTTTGCCTCTCAATGAACCCTTAGAAGTAGGGCATCTGGGCATTCAGCCCCTTTTCCCTTCTTTCTTTCTTTTATTTTCCTTCTTTTCCTTCTAGTCTTTCCCCCACCTCCCTCCTCTCTCTCCCCCGCACTCCCTCTCTCTCTCTTTTTCTCTCTCTCACACACACACACTCACAGACACACACGTATCTCAGTTTTACCCTGTGACCCCGAGCGCACCCTAATCCCGATGCCCTGTGTTTAACCCCCCAAACTGGGTGATCCTGGAAGCATAGGGTCCCGCGTAGAACCTAGTATTCTCCAGTCCGGACGCCCGCACCACGCCCCGGATGCACCGCGCCCGTCGGCACGCTTTCCTCTCGACTTCTCTTGGCGCGTCTGCTCCCCCGAGCCCTGCTCTCTTTCTGCGCCTACGCGCCCCACCTTTGGACCTCTCGGTCCAAGCGTAGGGCCAAGCTTGGATTGCATTTGTCCCTCTCTGGGTTGAGGCATGGGCGTGAACCGTTTGATGGGGCTTCGGCAAGACACGCAGCCCTGAACGCACTGACACGCTTTGGAGGACACACTGACGTTCCGGCTTCGCTGTCCTCCGCCGCTGCACTTAGTAATTACCTGACACAAAGCGGTAAGGGGGTGTCCATTGTTCCACGGCTTGTTATTGTGCGGGGTTTCTTGTGAAAGTGGGGGAACTTAAAATTGCACATTTTTTTAAACTGAAAAGATAAAATGAGTTCATTGTGAAGGTTGTGTGTTAGCTTTCCATTAAAATCTTAGTTCGGCCTGTCAGAAGAGGCTCCTTCTTCGTATTACATTGCCTGGTTTGCACTTGGGCATTGTTTTGTTTCTTAAACTTCAAATTAGAGATAATTTGGAGCGTACTCGGGAGGGCTGAGCGTCTCCACTTTGGCTATTTTGCATTTTAGCATCATTTTGGTTCATAAATGCCAAATTACCGGTCCTTGGAAGGATACCCTAGAGAGCTGAGTAATTCGTCTCACTTCTTCTCTTCTCTAGCTGGAGTAAGCAAGGAGAAGCCTCACCCCGCTCTGCCAGACCTGCTGGATCCCAGGCGAGCCGGGAGGCCAGCGTGAGCAGGGTGAGCCTGGCTCTGCTCCCACAAGGGGTCGGCGCGAAGCTCTTGCCAGGAGAAATGTTTAACATCCTGGGATGGTTATCCGGGATGTCGAAAAGTCAAGAGAGTAGGATTGATGAGGTTTTAGGGAGCGCCCCGTGGCACAAGCATCCCCTATTCAAGATTTTTCCAGTAGTTTCTGGGAGCGTACCCAGGTATGCACGGGTAGTGGGGCCAAGCCTTCTGACCAGGTCTGGAAGCCTGCTGTTGCCCACAGGCACCTAGAACGTCCCACGCAGCAAGGATGCAGAGAGGAACCCAAATCTGTTGGCACTAACACTACACCCCCCCTTTCTGGACCAGTAGTACAAGGGTATGTGAGTGGGTGTATTTCACAGTGAGGAGTACCACCCTAAAGCTGTTGCGGGAGGGGAGAGAAGAAGAGGAAGTCTTTTCGGTGTTTAAGTCTGAATTTCTCCAAAACATTTGATAAATAATATGTGGGTTGGAATTATTTTGTTTTCTCTGTTTTGTCCTCTTGGTCTTTAAGGAAACGCAGGGAGAAAACTTTTTTTGGACTTTTAAATATCCTAAAATTGTAACATATGTTGTAAAGTGTACACAAAGAGAAGCCTTTTGTCTTCTGGAAACATATTTAAGTCCCTTCCATTTTTTTTGGTGCCAAAACGATTACAATTGATTCACTGTTGTTCAGCTGATATCAAATAACAAGTTATATACCCCAAATCCTAAGATACAGTTTCACGAGTTGAGAATAAAATAAACAGAAAAGGTGAACTGTAGTCCAGAGTTACATTTAGAGGCAGCTATACTTCCTTTAAAGAAAAGTACTTATGCTGCAATTGTTCAGGCATTAATAAGAATAATGATGTCAATCAGCCACCTGTTCCTTCACAGGCACATGTCCTCCAGAAAACTGTTGTGAGAACATTGTGCTAGAATCCACAGTGCCTATCTCCAGTGACAGAATGAGGTTCATTAAGCAGACACAAGGAAACTTTTAGTCTAGAATGAACTTCAGAACTAACGATTCTCATGCCTTGTTAATGACACAGTGTAGGTTTCCTCAAATGTACTATAGATGGAGACAATTGTAACAAGCATTGCTTCTTTATGAATTTGGAAGGACCACGAGGCCACTAGTGCTTCCTAGACAACTCCATACATCTGTGAGAGGGTAACACTATGTGGAGAGGAACAGTCTCATACATGTCTCAGAAGAGCTGCTCCTTTGCTACTACGACTTACCATTATGCTCCCCATACACCAGCTTGCTCACTCGTTCTCTCTCACACGCACACTGCCCCCCCCACACAATCATACCCTCTGGACATAGAATAGGTCTTCATTTTCTGTTTACCATTCTATCGCTCACCAAAATGGGTACAGGACTGACCTTTTATACACTTTCCAGGTATATTTTTGTGACTTCATTTACTTATCAAGGCTACTCTGACCTGATTCATCTGGAAAATGTATCAGGAAACACCTAACTCAGAGGCCCAGTCCTCATGCTTGGTAAGGAATTAATAAGTATTTGCTGATTGATTAGTGTGACATAGTATGTTGTTTGAAATTAATGCTGATCTTGAACAAGCTTTGTGATCTAACCAAACATGAAACTAAAATATGAGGAGTAATTACTGTGATGAGCACATTATAAGAATTCACTCACTCAAGATTCACAAAATCCTATGATGCAGCTTCTACTCTTATCCCCATTTCACATGTGAGGAAATTAAGGCTTACACAAGCTACGTTATTAAGTCACAAACTAGTAAGTATTGGGATTTGAACCCATCTTTCTGTCCAACTTTAGATTTGGAGTTTCTGACACTATGCTAATCTGTTTTAATGAATTCATTTTAACAGTCTGTTGCATTATCTAATTTAAGGTCCACATTTTTTACACTTTGACGTCTTCAAGCCTGTGATGCATCTTATAGTGAATTCTTACAATTATACATGACAGCTTCTTCTCCCTCAGTGGTATATAAAATAATAGCATACTTTGCAATCAGTGGTATAGTTTGGTTATGTTGGGTTATGCTGTAATAGCAAATCATCAGGAAATCACAGGGACTCAAAACAGCAAAGGCTCATCGCATGCACTCGGTGCTCATCCTTGCTCGCACTCAGCCTGCTGTATCACTATTGAGATCAACTGCCTTCTGCATGATGGGTTGGCGTTGCACCTGCACACTACCATGTGCTTCCGCAGTCACTACTTCAGGGGAAGAGGGAGCCCTGGAGAATCTCACACCAGCAACTAAGTGCACCAGCCTGTCTGTGAAATATCACCGACCCATTGTGTCTCTGTCCAACGGCCAGGGAAGCTGGGAAGTTTAATCCTCCTGTGTTTCCTGAAGGAGAGGAGAACTGGATGTGGGTAAGCAGTTAACATTTATACCACAAAGCCATATTCATTCAGTGAAATATGGTCGTTAGGATCAATTAATGTAAATATTGGGGATCTATTCTATTCAAAACCATTGAGCAATGCCTGGCTGTGATTTGTTATATCCCACCTAAAACATAACTTTAAACTTCATGCTCATGCTCATGTCTATTTTCAAGGAAGAATGAGAATCAGTTTCAGAAACAGCATTGTCCAACAGTACAGCTGTGGTGCAGGGGTTTTAACCAGGGGTCTCCATATGAGCTCGTAGGCTTTGGAACCTCCTGAAATTGTATACAAAATGTTCAGAGCATTTTTTCCAAGGAATGGGGTCATATCTGTCATCAGATTCTCAATTGGGATTCATGATTCATTCATTCATTTATTCCACACACATGTACTAAGGGCCCGTTATATTCCAGGAGCGGTTTTTGGCATCCAGCAGCAAACATGACACACAAGTTCCCAAATATCGCAAAGCTTATAATGTGGAGGGGACAATAATGAATAAGCTTAATGAATGCTTAATGAATAAGCAAACAAGTAACAAAGAAGCTAAATTTAGATATAGGTAGGTGACACAAAAGAACATGGTGGAAACAGGAGTGGGGTCAGGGGTCTGCTAAAATGATAACGAAAGGCCATTATATGGAGAAATTTGACCTGAAACAGGAAAGGTGAGAAGGAACTGTTCATGCAGAGATCTTGGAACCCCAGAGAAAAGTGTTGTGGTCAGAGTTTTAAAGGAGCTGAAGAGTGGATGCACTCAGCGCATTTGAGAATTTGAAAGAATCTGGAGTATAGAGAATGAGGAGGAGAGTGGTAAGAGAGGTAATGAACGAGGAACGCAGAGTCCAGG